CGGCGCTACGACCCTCCTCGTCGCCAAGCCCAATTCCCTCCGACCGGTCCCAACAACAACAATAACTGCAACGGTCGGGGGGCGTTCGCCAAGAAGAAGAAGAAGCGGGGCGCGCAGGCCCAACCGGGTGGACCGGCTTCCTCGGTCACCAACCCCCCGGTGGCCTCGGCGCCTCCCTCGGCCGTGGCTGTGCCTACATGCTTCAACTGTGGCGTGGCCGATCACTGTCAGGGTGATTGCACCATGCCTCCCGCGTGCTATCTTTGCAAGAAGACGGATCATCCCGCTGCTCTCTGTCCGGACCACCAGCCCATTGGGACCCTTGGGTTGTTTGGATACGCCTTGGATGGTTTGGGCTTCTTCCAGATGGACCTCCCTGACGTCCGGGATGCTCCACCAATGACTGCTCTTATTTCGGTCTTGGATAGCAGGACGGCCTCTCCGGCCATCATCTCTAAGGAGCTTCGCCACCTATTCAACCCGGAATGGGATTGGGGGTGACCCCAGTCTCAGACCGGGAGTTCACCGCCATCTTCCCCGACCCGGTCAGTCTTCGCTACGGCACCCACAGCGCCCGACTCACGCTCGCCCTCAACCAGCTCTCCGTCCGCATCTCGGTCCCAAGTGTGGATCCACTTGCGGTGGCCTCTCTCTCCATGGTGTGGGTGCAGATCCGTGGACTCCCTCCGACTGCCAGGGTTGAGGGAGTCATTCGTGGCATGTCCCGCTCGTTGGGCAAGTTTGTGGCAGTCGACGGCTCCTCCCTGTCCACGGGCCCGGCTGTCCGGGTGCAGATCAAGTCGCTAGACCCCTCCAAGCTCAAGATGACGATCATGATGTTCTTCAATGATGCAGGCTACGACCTTCGCATCACGGTTGAGGGTGGGACTCCCAGTGATCCCCTTAACCCGGAGGCTGGGGGTGCTGCTGGTCCCGAGCCGGGCCCTGGTGGCTGGGGCGCGGCCCCACAGGGCTCTCCCCGTCACCCTCGCAGCGACTCTCCTCGATCTGAGGCTTCCGGCAATGACTCGTCTGGTCCTGAGGATGACCCTCCTCTAGCTGGCTCCTCTCATCCCTCGTCCGCCCACGGTTCGGGGCTCGATGGCCTCGACCCCGACCCCAAGGAGGAGTCCGAGGACATCGCGGCTATTGCAGCCATGCTCAACGAGGTGGCCACCCTCCCCCCTAGTACCACTCTCCCTCCTCCCTTCCTCCCTCCACTCTCCTTGTCTGATGAGGAGGGGAGTGGGGTCAACCGGGGTAGCATGGAGGTGCGCCCTCCATCCTCCCCTCGGCCGTCACTCCGGTGCTCACCCGGGAGGTCCCGGTGGCGTCGGCCGCTCTGGAGTCTGTTCTTGAGGTGGCCTCTTCCCCCACGTCTTCCAGGCCCCCAAATCCAGGGGTCGCCACCGCTCGGCCTCTACCCCGGTCTCCTCGACCCGGAAGAAGAATTTGGTGTTTGACAAAATGCCTGCAAGGTATGTATTGCTCAAACTTCATGAATTTGGTGCATGTTGACTGTAGTTTAATAGCATAGTATTGAACATTGTAGATGAGTTCGTCGTATGATTCTTCCGAAGAAGAATTTGATATGGAAGAGGAGGATCTTGCAATGATCCTAGCTATGCACATCAACAAAAGCCAAAGCACGGTGGTTCGGTCATGGGTCGGCAGAAAATTTGGAGAGATAGGATCGATGCCCATAACAGATTGATGAGGCACTATTTCATGGAGAATCCCACATACCCAGAGTCGTACTTTCGTCGCCGGTTTAGGATGAACACCGAGTTGTTCAGGCGCTGAGGGAGTCCTGGACTAGGGGGTGTCCGGATAGCCGGACTCCAAGACTATGAAGATACAAAATTGAAGACTTCGTCCCGTGTCCGGATGGGACTTTCCTTGGCGTGGAAGGCAAGCTTGGCGATACGGATATGTAGATTTCCTACCATTGTAACCGACTCTGTGTAACCCAAGCCCTCTCCGGTGTCTATATAAACCGGAGGGTTTTAGTC